AACGTCTCTAGCGTGGCGGCAATCCCGTTGACGATTTGACAATACTCGTTAGCTCTTGTTTTTCGAGTTTCAGAGTTTGAGTCCCGGTTGCCATTTATATGGCTCTATCCCTAAGTCGAAGGTGTCTGGGAGGCAATGCTGGCACTATAAGCTTCCGTAGCCGTGCTGGGTCTGCCGCACCGGCTTCTAAGGAACCGTCTGAAAAGATGAACATGTTTATGGCTATCAACTCTGCAATGACGGTCGCAATGGAGGAGAATCCGAAAACTGTGGTGTTCGGTGATCCATCCCATCTCCGAGTTGTATTGACGGAATTGTGGATCTGCAGGTGAGGACGTCGCTTTCGGAGGAGTCTTCCGCTGTACAGTCAACATGCGAGAGCGATTTGGCCCTGAACGAGTGTTCAACTCTCCGCTTACAGAGCAGGTGAGACTGTTGGCAGCGGTATTGACTGCTGGCTCGACGATTAGAATGCCGTAGGGTATCGCTGGATTTGCTTTCGGGATGGCCGCTACGGGAGGACACGATGTCATTGCTGAGATCCAATTCGCTGACTACATATATCCAGCATTCGACCAAATCGTCAACGAAGGGGCTAAGTAAGACTTGTGCAACACTAGTGCATACTTCCGCACCGATTCGAGGTATCGCTACCGCTCATCGGGTGCTTATCACGTTGGAGGTGTCACCTTCCGTGCTCCCTCTGGTGCGGTCGGTCATGGCGGGCTATATCACAGTCAGAGTGTTGAAGCTTTCTTCGCTCACTGCCCAGGGATCAAAGTCGGAACCGTTGTCCACAGAGACCTTTGGGCTGAGTGTGGTTTCAGGTTGCCATACCGCGTTCAGCACTACAGGCTAAAGGTCTACTCCTTGCGTGTATCAGAGATCGAAACCCATGCGTTTTCTTTGAACCCAAGGCCCTTTACAGAGCTAGCACTGACGATGTGCCGACTGGGGACTTCGAATTACCTCTGGGCGTAGCTGACATTGTTAAAGAGGGTACCAAGGACGAGTTCAATCCCTAGGACGCGAGTGCCGTCTTGCAGGATCTGATATAACGGTTGTCGCCTGGGGCAATCAAGTTCATAGATGTATAGATGCCGCCGATATGGTCTCGAAGGAAGGTA